CATTAAATTAAGATTACAATTAATGAGGGCGATCCAAAAGCCTAACCTGGCCCAGGCTAACTTGACTTGGCCCCGGGCTAATTTAGCCCACCAGCAATTTTGAATGGCGGGTTAAGTTAGCCCGGGCCAGGTTAATTTAGCCTGGGCCAAGTTAGCCTTTTGGATCGCCCTCAATATGTACACAAAATTTAATTTCAATCTTGATCAAAAATACTCATTTTTCTAAAAATAACGCTTTAAAATGCAGATTAAAAAGGGGATTATATACTGATGTACAAAAACACAATTTTTCTCTTTATTTTATTTTATTATTTATGTAACGTTTTTAGGCTAAAAAAAACTGATTTTCTTCTTACGGTTAAGGTTAAAACAATCTCATCGGCTTGTGTTAGTTTTATTTCAAATGGAAAAATATTTAATTTACCTGTTAAAAAGTCAATTTTATTTTGTCAGTGAGACTGAATTTGAAAGAAGTTATTGATTTTCTTACCAGGGTTGGCAGAAAAATAATGAGAACTTAATTTAATTATGAAATAACAGCAATTTCCACGAAAAGAATTTAATTTTTATTAAATTGCAATCATGATATTGAAAGTAACATTCGTTTATTAGCATTTGCTTTCAAGAGCGTTCTCTGAAAGGTCAGTTTTCCATTAGCAGATCAAAGTTTGGAGAGTCGCGTGCTCGGCGTTTTGTGCAGAAAAAGCCCCACAAGGGCAGCGCTGCGGTGTCGCCTGCGATCGCGCCGCGTTTTTTGCGCCGCGTCTGTCGTCGTCGAGCTCTGGCCGTGCATAAAACTAACAGACTTTAATTCAACTAATGATGGCCGCTTCCACGGCAAACCAAATAAGCCGACCAGTTGAAATCCGAGTCGCGCCAGAGTAAAAAAAAAATTAAGAGCGTCTCGTTTTACGCGGTTATTTTGCGTGCCGGGATCACGAAAAAATTAAATATAAAGATTAAGGACCGCAACTCGAGCGCAAGTGAGGCAGATCAGGAAAGGAATCGACGACACGTGGGAGAGCAAATCATATTTAGAGAAAATCCAGACGCCCACGTCTCGCTCAACACGTCATGAGTCATAATTTTGCAAAGTTTCAACATTTAAGTATTTTTAAGTCATGTAAAACTTGCAAGCATTCAAACAGTTCTTTTATTAAGAATATCTCTAAATAAAATTCAATTTAAACTTAATTAACGGTATCCAAGCTCAATTTTCCAAATTCTAAACACAAATTTAATCAAAATGAAACAGGGAGAGGAACACAAACATTTGAACCCCCAGCTTATTGATTTTATTCAGTTTCGTTGTTTTTAATAATAAAAATAGAGCCTGTAGATGCATGTTTTGTAGGTAAAAATTTTTACCCATTTTTAGTTGGAAATCAACGAAAATTTACAAATGATGCCAATAACTTCTTCAATTAAATTGATGGCTTTAGAATCACCCAATTCATAAAAAAAGATTTGAGATTTTTCACTGCTTTTCACCTATTATGAATAATAAAATTTCCATCTTACAATTAAATCCACTTATTTTTAGGAAAATAGCTTGATTCAAAAAAATTCCACCGATACCAACTTTAAAACAACAAATTTCAATATTGAAATAATACTGATTTTTTCGATCTACAAACCACTAAGCTGTTACTTCTATAAGTTTAAATTTCGCAAACAAAATCGCTAAATTTCCCAAATCTACGCAAATAGATTAATAATCGTAACCAATGTAGGAAGTTGTACTTACATGATTTTATATTTTTTTCAAAATATACTATGAAGTAAGATGTATTGTAAATAATTTAAAATTATACATTTTAAACATTCTCATTTATAATTTAAATTTATTTTGTGTATACTTTTTTTAAATTAAAGACTTTTCTTAGTTTTACGTTTAAGCGTAAACAAAAAATATAATTTACTTCGTTAAAAATTAACTGGCTTTTTTAGTTTTAATAAGAAATAATTATTTTTACAATATTACAGTTGTTAATATATAAATTTTTTAAGAAGTATTCCAGAGCTTAATAATAAATCTATAAACGACATCTCTCTATGACATTTGGTGATATGGAATGCCTTTAATAATGAGTAAATTATCAGAAAACAATTAAATATTGCAAAATAAATTTTCTAATAACTATTTCTATACAATAATTTAAAGCATAATGATTTGTAGAAAATCATAGTAAAAAAGCTAAGTGCTTCATGGTCGAATGAAATAATTACTGAGATTTTTCAAATAACTTTGAATCTTGTTTGAAATATGGACCAAATTTAAAAAGTGTCCTTCATGATTTAAATACTCTAAATTCTCTAAAGATATTTTCGATTACAGTCTCTGAAGTTCTGAAAAGATTTTATGGCTTTTATTATGGTAAAAAATATACTTCTTTCTGATTATAAAGGCTACAGAGTTGTATCGAACCTTTGTCGTGTAAAAAGTCGCATCTCAATCTAAAAAAAACGTGGGGTACAAAGAATTTTACGTGCCATTTGTTCGATTATTGTCAGTTGAGCATATCAGAGTAATAAACTTGGTTCTCAGCAAAAAGCAGTTTTTATGGTTCGTCAGGTCGGATGCGCGTCTCGAAATTTGCCTGTCCCAGCGAGCGAAGCAATATCGATTCGGGGAAAACTCTCTCTCGGCTGCTCTGGAGAGCGTGGCGAGTTTTAAAACTAAGCATGGGACGCTTTGTTATTTTTTACGGCCACTCGTCCCCATTATTTATTGCAAACAAAAAAGGAAAAGTTGGAGATTGCATGTTGCTTTTGCAGCAAAATCTGTCAAGTGGCAATAAAAACCGACTCAGCCGACTGACGCGCATATATAATTAAAAGTCGACAATACTTTTCTCGATTGCTACTCGAAACTTTCCTACTCGTTATTGAAATTTTATTCCTCCCAGCAATGCAAATGATAATAATTCAAAAGCAGTCTCTCTTCAAACTTTTTAATCAAACAGACTCTGCTGCTGGTGAAAAGTCTCGCTCGTCCCAAAGATTTGGGCGAAATTATTAGCTAAAATCCATAAAAATTCATTGCCATGAAAGAGTTACAGAAAATAATTGTAAAAATTTTAATTTATGAAATTCTACAGTGGAAAAATAATAATAAATTATGGCTTTTATTTTTGTTTCTCCGTTGCATTTTGTCACCTCAATTTAAATTGTATTTCTGCAGTAAAAATGTAAGCAGAACGTAAGCACCATTGATAGAAATTTCTACTCAAAATTTTAATTAATTGCATTAATGTAGCAAAATATAGAAATACTCAACTTTTTTTGTCTACGAACCCCTTAATTTATGAGCTTTGATTTTATTAATTCCTTTTTTAATTCCTGACAAATTAAAAACACTATTTCTGATTACCGAATTTCTAGGAATTTCTGATAAAAAAATCTGATCTATACCGAATACTGTTTTTTGATAAATACAGCGACTCTTTTTATAAAATAATTAACAATATTTTTTAATTTCATTTAAAAAATTTTAGCAATTACAAATTTAATAAATTTATGCTTTTTTTAGTTAATCTTTCTAGTCTAATTTGAAATACAATAGTAAGTCGATTAAGTTTGTACTTTCTGGGATGGTTAAGATAATTAACTTAATTATGCCTATAGGCTTGGGAAAAAGGTGAAGTTTTGCTCTTAAAAAATAATTTCGTAAACTTCTAAATAAGAGCAACACAATTTGCTAAGATTTGTTTTATTTTTAATTAAAAATAGTTGGAAAGACTTTTTGTTCAGCCAGTTCAAGTGTTAAACGCATCTCACGAATAAAAAAAATAGCGCAAAAACGAGCAATAAATGTCGTTCTGTCTCTCGCGAGATTTGCCAGCGGTCTCTGGCGATACCGTCCGCGATATTATTAAATTGCAAGGGCGTCGCTTCTTCTTCAAAACACACTCGCGCTCGCACATTTGGCAGATTTTTATCAGCCAGGGCATTTCAATAGCCCGCGAATTCGCGGCCAACGATCTCATTCTAGTCCGAGCGAGAGATCGATGGAATCATTGTTGTACTTTTTGCTGGGGTCCGTCGCAGGGGGGACACTTTTGAACGCACCGAGGACAAACACACTTAAAAAAAAGTGAAAAAAGCTTTCAGTGTCCGGCAGCAGAGGCGAGAGCACTTTTTCTAAATGTAGATTTTTATCAAAGGCTCTGTGGGAACGAAAGAGTCACTTGCAAATTTCCAGGCGTGGGATCAACTGGAGCGTTTGTATTTATGTCATTTTAATTGCTTTCCTAAATTTTAATTTTTATTGATTTGTCCGCCAATAAAAGTTGTTAAATTATGTAAATAACATAATGTAATTTAATTTAAACACTCCTTTTAACCAACAAAAAATAATTGCATTTTTTTTTCTATTTCCTTGAAAATTCTCAATTAAAAAAGTTATTTTTATCATTTAAATTCCTAATTACTTTACAAAATCGCTGGCAATCAATGATAAAAGCAATTATATTTATATTTGAAGTGTTTATTGGGCAGAGTGGAAATGAGTGAGGACTTTTGAACATTATTTTTCACTTTGTTCTCTGCCAATTTGGAACAGCAGCTGCGACTTTGTGTTAAAAACGTTTCAAATCATAAAAAGGATAAAAAAAAATATGAATGAACATGAAACACTTTTTCCTTTGAAAGTAAAATTTACGGCTCTCCAGTTAATAAATCTCGCTTTCAACGTAAATATATTGGTAAAAAAAATGCGCGTCGCAAAAAATTAGCCACTCTCCCTCGTCCGCTCTCTCTCACATAATGGAAATTTTTCCACGCAAAATACACTCACGCACCGCGCCCGTATATAAAAGGCCCCACTTCATTTCTGTGCGCGCGTGAAAATACACGGAAAAGCGATATCATTTTTGTATAAAGCCCGGGAGGCCACTTTGCAGCGCGGGCCGAGAAAATTGCTTTTGCGCCGAAAATGAATCAAGAAGCCCCGAGATGAGAAAACTGCTCTTTTAATTGATGGCTCGGGTTGTTTGCAGGTCAGGATTGATTCACGCGCTGAATCACAGCTGCGGTAACTGAACGAGAAACGCACACACACACTCGGTTGACCAGCATGACCAGAATCGGCCTCCTGCTTTTGGTGAGTAACACGCATCATCTTTTGTCTCTCTTTTATAATCCCAGACCTTTTCCCCATTCTCTGAATGAAAAGAAAAGCCGAAGATATTACTCATTTCATTTGGAGGAAGAAAACCCACTTTAAAAAGTTCCTCATCCTTATTACTAATATATAGATAAGTTTAAAATGGATATAAAAACAATTTATAGCATTTAAATGTTTGGAAAAGTCAAAAGGCAAATAAAACTGTCTGGACACCAATTATATTATTTTAGTAAAAACTTTATTTCGCAATTAATAAACATGTAATTTTAGAATTAAGGTGCTTTTCAATTGACTTTTTGGCAATTTCTGGCCAAAATTTGCTTTTTTACAAATATTTATTTGTTTCCACAAATGTATTCTCTATAAGCCTAGCCTATATAGACCAAGGCTCTTTTAGTCACTTTAGATCACCCTGAATTCTTCATCACAATTGATTTTACCATTTAATTCAATTCTTTTATATGTTTAAAATAATCCAAAAATATAAATAAAATAACTTACACATAAAAAGTGCTAAAATTGTTAGATAAATATCAACGTTCGCAGTATTTTCTGCTTTTTAAAGAGCTATTTTTGTCACTAAATTGGCTCGATATATTTTTAAATTGAGTCTTGTTCATTTTATTGTTGAGACCTGAAGGCAGATAAAACGGCTCCTTTACACTTTTCCATTAGCTTTTTTGGTTCTGCGGGGAAAGAAATTAAATTCGGGACAAAAGAAAAGTTTTTATGAAGCGCGGCCTGTGCGTTATTCCTTTTCATTCCCCGCCATGTTTTTGTGCTCTTTCGTTTTTTTTTTTTATATATTTTTTGGCCACGTGCCCTGCAATATTATCTCGTTTCGGCGCGACAATAAAGCAGGAACCTCGTTGTGCAAATCCAACAAGGGAAATGCGTAATATTGAGAGCCGCCGAAAGATGAAGGAAGTGGTTCATGCGCGTGCGGTTGAAAGAAACGCGTTTCGTGTCGAGATAAAACTTTACTTATTTTGCGCGAGATCAATGAATCCACATTGTATGCAAGAAGTGTGAAGAGACAAGTTTGTTGAACACGTTATCGAAATCAGTTCAAATATTTACTGCCGGTGTTTTTTATTGGGGCTGCAGCGGTGAAAATGCGTCTCTTGCAGCTGCAATAAATCGCGTTCGCCGCGTGCCTGCGCAGGTGCTAAACATAATATTTTACTGCTCCCTCGCATGCTCTTCAAATCAGCAGTATAAAGTTGCGCCGCGCACTGTTAAAAATCGGCCCCGTTTTATCGCTAAATAAAACAACACGCCCTTTAATGACGGCCATACGTTTTCGCGGCTGCAATTTGTCCGAGTGAAACTGTTAGATCTGCGCGAATTAACCAGCAAGCGTTGGCGCGACACTAAACATCACTTCATTCAATCACCAGAGAGATAGTAAAAATAGGATGGTTTTATGACTTGGATTTGCGCCGGACGAGATGTGATTTCTTGACTCTTGCATCTGCCAATGGATTTAAGCAGAGAGTGTCCCCATCAGCAGAATTATATTTTTTTCAACTTTTAAATACTACAAAAACAATACTTCATTCTCGCAAATTTAAATTTGCAGGAATTTTAGTAAGAAAAATCAAAATTTATATGTTTCAAAGTTACAACACAAAAATTAAACATCAGGAAAGCAACTTACATTAAAATATATTATAAATGAAATTTAAAACAAGAAGGTGATTTTTCCCATTTTAAAACTAAAAATTGCTTTACATTTTGAGAGTTGTAATTTGGAAAAGGCCAGCTGATGAACTTTGAAATTAGAGAAATCATGATCCTGGTCATGTTCAGGGTGCCGTTTTTCTTGATTTTTGAGTTTTAAAAGGAAAAATTGATTTTTTGAAAAACTGTAAACTCTATCTGTTTGGAAAAATTAAGATTTACAATTAAAAGTTGAAATTTAGACATTTTTATTTGTTTTCGGGGCTTCGGTTTTCTTCTAATTAATAACAATTTGGTAAGTCAGATATGAATTAATTTGAAAAGAAGCTAATCAAGTGAGGAAATCGGTTGATTGAAATTAAACCTTTAATTATTTTTGCCATAAATTGATTTTATAGGCTGAATTATTCCTTTAAACAAAGTAAATGTGAGCTTAATTTACCCTCTTTGAAACCACGAGCATATAAATTCAATTTCGCCTGCAATACATTTTCTGTGCTCAAAACAAATCGAGCGAAGCCGTTCCGCGAACTTTGATTGTGCACCGACGTGTCTCCTCCCCAAAGAAAATCAAACCGCCCTTTGATCTGCAACAATCCCGCAAGGATTTCGGCGAAATTTTCCACTCGGAGAGACTCAAATCCGAGCTCGGGGAATTCTGAACACGTTGGTGTATAATAAGGGTGCGTGCATTGTCGCACGCTCCACTTCCCCTAGGGAGGCTGTGTATATTTATGGCGCCTTTCTACCTGCTCTATTATCTCGAAAAGCGCGCGCGAATATATCCAGATAGGACTCTTGTGTGTGTTGTGTACCCACTTTGTTTCGATAAAAAGGAAAACAACCTTCGCCTTGCTCTGAAATTGTTTATGATTAGCTCTCGATCGCACCACAAAGAAGTAAATTTTGCGGCTCCCCTCGTTTCCTCCCTTAAAGCGCGGTTTTGATTTATCAATTGTGCGCTGCAAACACACTCTCTCTCCTTGTAGATAAGACGCAAATATTGATACCCGCAAGTATGATAAATTCTTTCAAGCCGTAAATTATTGTCACTTGTGAAATCGGAAACGGTTTTATTGCGGTGTGTGCAGAAAAATGGGAATTTGATGCGAGTGGCGCGTCAAATATATCAAAAAGAAAATTCTCGTCGTGTATTTGCAAAGATATAACTTATCTGAAAATGTAGTTGAGGGAAATTATTTTTGTATGAGAAGAGGTCTAAAGTTGATTACAAGTAAATTTTTAAGCAATCAATAATTGCCGAAATTTAGTAGCAAATGGTGAAAAAAATTGCAAAGCAAAAGATGGAAAACAGTTTAATGAATCTATGAATTTTTTAAAACAATTTCCTCTCAAACAGCATTTTACATATTTAAAAGACAGAAATTGGGGCTTGTGATCATCTGAAATTATCTGATTCATCTGATTTTTAATGAAGGGTAAAGGACTATTATTTATTATTACGTGATGAGCTGATTGCTCAGCTCTTCCCAAAAATTGGAGTCAGACTCCTTGTGTGGACCTCTCCACGGAAATCTTTAGTAAAAGGCGAAAGATTTATTCGCTTTGAAGAGATCCCAGAGTATGTTAGACATAAGCTAGGCCGAAGGACCCAGCCGAAGCTCGGAGAAGCTTCTCTCATCGAGCCGCTCTAGATGTTTCGACTAATTCCTACAGCTCTGCGAATTCAAATTAGCACAAAGTTTAAAATAAGTTTTGCCTTTACATTCTACACGTATTAAATTAAAAACCTTTTACACATTTATAGGAAGTGAGGTTAAATTTCACATTTCCCGTTGTTTCTACTCCAATGCTTATGTGGCGAGGGGGAGAGGGGAAGACGGTAGGCCGCGCGTGAATGCACTTGGCAGCGAGTGCAGTCAATTTCGTTTGACAAGATACATATTTTATCGAATCAAACGCTGCAGAGAAGTTAATAATTAATCACAATATTTTTTAAAACTAAAACAATTATTATTATTATTATTTTATTATTATTATTGCAATTATTATTTTTTTATTTAATTAAATCGCTCTGTGATTGTAACTGTAGCAGATGATATTTCTAAAATAAAATGCGAATTTGGAACAAAATTAAGAGAATAAAATTAACTTTAATTATATTTGCACTAATTTTACTGAGAAATGGAACAGAAAATTATGATAAACATCAATTGATAAATTAACTATTGCCCTATTTTAACGTTACTTCGTAAAATTTCAGCTAACATGTGTAAAAAATTGTATTTCTATCAATGAATTTAATTAATGTTTTTTGATGTGAGGATAAAAAATCGTAGCCGCAAACCCACAAATTAACCCATACTTGTTAGGATTTTCAATCGTGTATATTTTCTAGCCCATATGCTGACCAATCGACCTGTTCGGAACGTTATTTGCAAATAATTGCCTGCAGCGGACAGAGACACACGTTTGTTGAAAGTCGGCGGATAATTGATTCGGGTCCATTCATCAGCCGTAATGCGTCCGCTCAGCTGCTGACCCGCGCCACGAGCAAAAAATTAATCTCGTCGGTGGTCCAAGAGCGAAGAGTGTGTTTTCACCTCCAACCTGCTCTCAGCGGTGAAATATGCGAATTAATGCTCGCTCGGTTGGAACGCCAATTACAAATCGATCGCCGCAAATTGCCCGCGTGTTAATTTGAATTTAAATTGATTCGCGAGTCGAGTTTCATTTTTTTTTATATGCAAGTCACAGCCGGGAGTTGTGCTCGGCACACGAAATGTGGCAAATTGCAGGGTACGGAGGATTTTCGGGCGGAATCTTAAAATTGGCAGCCGATGGTCTCTGAATACGAAAGGGACACATTCAGCCTGTTGGAAGAAATGCAAATCTTTCGCTCCGATGACTTTGGAAACTGTTATTTGCTCGGTAGGGTGAAGGAAAAATGTTGCCGGCTGAATTGCGTTCAAAATATAGGAATGAGATAAAAAAAACTATGTAAAAAAAAGTTCAATCAAAATATAGACTTATAAATTGTAAATTTGTTCTAATTTACACATTATATATTTTTTTAAATTAATTCAAACAGCTAAATTTTAATAATTAAAGATCTAAACTAATATAATCTGGCTGATTTTAAACAAATCTCTGGATTGAGATTAGATGGAAATTCAAGACAAACCTTTAATTATTTTCAGAGATAAATTTCTTTATTTTATATTAAATTTCGTTTGCTACGAATTTCCCACACAGCAAGTCCTCCTTTTTTAATTTTAAATAGAATGCAGCTGTTGCATCGATTCGCCGCTCGAAGTGATAATTTATCGGCC